TATTTAAGGTTTTTATTTCTACACCATCGCCGTATTTGATGTATCACGGTAGCCAGAACGCCTTTGCGAAACGTGCTTAGATCTTCTCCGATGAAAAACCAAATTCTCCTTCATTGAACATTACAATTCTTGCCAAAATTGTTGGAACACTTGCGCAAAGTTGAAGCTTTTTTTTAAAAATCCTCTCCCCTTACCCCCCATTACAATGTTATTCAATTGGGCTGTTTTGATCCTGGAGGTAAAAATTTCTTCACTGAATGCTGTGTGAAGGTATTGAGAAAATAAATCAACATTGTACGGGGGGAAGGGGGTCTAAATTTTTGAAGCGGCAGTGATATTTTGGTAAGGTAGTTTTAGACTTGCTTTGTTTATTTGCATGCTTCGATGGGAAGGCGTTCCAGTTTTTTTGGCAAGGATTGTAGTACCCAGGAGAGTTGTAAGGGGCCACGCCGCGTCCTGTATCTAGGCATGATATTGAGAATGTTTATCGACTGTTACCATGCCTTTTTAGAAGTTCCTTCGCATTTTTAGAAAATTGCACGCAGTTTCTGTATGCGCACGCAGAGAATTTCAATTCATTTTTGTCCCTGAGAAAAAATCGACCTGAAAGATTTTAACAAGAGGAAAATTCGCCAGAATGACGTATAAAACCCATTTACTTTTGATAGGGTATATCTGGTATATGTTTAACATATATTTTACGTTGCAGTTTGAGAATCTTAAGAAGTTAGTGGGCTGGTCCACAAAGTAGCGAAATTTGCATGGAAATTTGACAGGGAACACCAACCCCACGTGATCAAGAATCCACACTCCACTCCTGACTACAGTGGTAGTGGCAGTGTTTGGTAATGATATGTGTATGTGCTTGATTAAAGAATAATTTCACAAAAAACCATTGCAAGTATGGATGTATTGGAAGAATTGAAACAGTTATTGACCGATTGTGCTTTGGATACCATCGAGGAGTATTTTTTCGCTGACTAGAGAATGGTTTACGTACAAGTCTGATGGGAGGGCCTAGGCCCCAGAACCAGATGGCAACACACAAACTTCGACATTTTCTGTGGCAAAAGAATTGTTTCATTTCGCTAACTGAACCTTGCTGAAAGAGAAAGGGTCACACTTTAAGGTACTGCTGACAGATTTTATATAGGGATTCTTTTCGTGCTGCTGCTACTGGGCCCAGGAGTGGCGGCATGGGGAGGGCATGGGGGCATGGGGGGCTTAACCCCTCCCCCAAGATTTTAGTTAGCCCCCCGTCGGCAGCCAATCAATGTTTGCTTTCTCAATACCGTCGGCACTTGATGGATGTCACCTCGTTTACATGTTGTTTGAATGACATAAATAATTGACGAAAAAGCTGCACTGGCTGGTTTATGGTTTTCTCGATGGCTTTTCGTCGGCAATTTTACTTTACTATCATAATGGCATTATATCCTGTCGCTTCCGTGAAAGCTGTGACATTGTTTCATGGTGCTCCCTCGCATGACCCACAAGGGGCTGAGATGTACTATGAAATGCAATTTTGAGCATAGTTATGAAACCCCCTTAAAAAATTCAATCTCAAAAACGAGGAGTTCTTTTCAATCTAGGGCTGCTTTGTCGGGGAATTTTTATTTTGATCCAAAGGTATGATGTATTTAAGAGAGTTAGCATCCAGAAAAAATTTGACTAGCCTTAGCAGTCTTTTTTATTTACTAGAAAAGGTTTTTGCCCAATTTTTTGTCCAAATTTCTATGGCTTGTTTACTCTGAAAAGTGCCTGCATTTTTAGTAATTGCATTGGTCAACTCTCGTTAATAATTCTCTTCTATGATTATTTGGATGGCCAAAAAACTACACTTCTCTCTATAAAATTCCACATCTTAAACCATTAGAAAACCAAGCAAAATTTGCCACACACATTTTGTCTTTATCTTTGTGTTATTTTCCCTGCATTACCCAATGTTCAATTACTAGTGTTGCTATGCTTATTGAGAAATTCTTTAATGTTGCATCATTGTTGATTTTTGGGCAATATTATAAGTGGGCAAGCCTATTGTTTTGATAAGATGACATCACATTTGTCCATTCTTTTTAGAATAAAAGACCTCTGTCTTCCCAAGATGTTGGGAGACAACTGCCTCCCATTCATTCCCTCTGGAAGTCTGCCACTTTTTATTGTTTGTTTCTATTTCTCCTCTTAAAATTACAATAATTCTAATCATTGCATCCATAAAAGACAGAAAATAATTTCTTGGGCGTTTCCGGGAAATGGGCGCGGTCCGTCGGTCATAATGGGTTTTGAGAATGTCAAATTTTTGTCTGGATCCGCCCCTCGGAGGGGAGGGGGGTTCTTCTCTTCAAGCAAATGCAGTACGGAAAAATTAACTCTAAGTTGTACGGAGTTCAAATTGAAAGATCTTTGGTTTGGGAAAAAGCAAGTTAGAGGTCTCTTCTTTAAGCTTTAAAAGGCAATTGGTTTTTAAAACATTATTTAGTCCTTAGGGCTTAGTAGTAGCCCCTGGCTTGCGACTTTTCAACTCATTGAATACAGATTTTTATTAACCTTTTGAAAGGAATATATTGAATGTAGAAGATTGAAAGTTAACTATTATTCCCAAAGTATCTTTGATCGAGAACTTCAACAATCGTGCAATTTTACTCACCTTTTTCTCCATACGATGATGGACTATCTTGATCTCATATCTAAAAGACAAAACACATTATTTATTCAGCTTTTATATCATCTGTAAAAATAATTCATCATGATATTACTTTAAATTTCATGGCATGGGCTTGCAAGTAAACCATCCCTCTCATACTCATACCATACCTGCCTCAAGTTGGTGATGAGACCTGGTATCACCTGAAGTTAATTTTTTTAGCCTGGCTTTTCCTTTGCCTATACGCTCTTTTTTATAGCCTCTGTCAAGAACAATTAAAGCCCCTGTCAATGATTTGTACTTGTACCTGCAGTTTTTGTAGTCCTGTTGCTTTTTGTTGGTATTTTATTGCTTGAGTTTTGAGCCTCAGCCTGCCTTTTTCTTTTGCTGTTCTTATTCTTTGGGCAAATCTGATGTTTCTTACAAGGGTTATTCTTATTGAAAATAACGTGTCTTCTGTACAAACTTAAGCACAGTAAACTCCCTACAACTCGAACCCCGATAAGTCCAAAATTTGCTTAGTCGTACTCATATTGCATCCCTTTGTCAAATCCTTTCACATAACCCCCCCCCCAATTCTTTCACATAACCCACCCCCCCCTCTCTTTCTCCTCCGATAACTCGAGCATTCGCTACCTCGAGCCACGTTGTTGGTCACTTGGAGGTTCGAGCTATGAGAGTATACTGTAGCATCAGGTATTGACGGTGGAAATTCTGCGAGGGAAAAGCACAGCCTCGCAGAGACAGTTAATATGCGCTAAAAACTGTTCTTTGACTTGCGAATAATTTATGTTTTGTCAGCAACAAGTGGATCAAACGAAACAATATTAGGTTTAAGCTTTTCGTTAAAACCCGTCAACCTTGAAAATCTAACAAACAATGCTAGTAACATAAAGTGTTATGCAACAAAATAAAATGTCAGGAAGGAGGGCCGAGAAAATTGACATGGCGCTAAGATTAAGCATATCATTTCATCCCAGATTAAAAGATTAAGAAAACAAACAGAAAATTCCTCATCTATGGAAAAATATAATCTTTATTTGAGCAGATCGGTTTTACTAATAAAAATTAGATTCCTTCCAATAGTGAAATTGTTGCAATCAAGGTCGAAAGAGCACTAACTGTTTTCTTAGGCTTGATAACGGCCTCAGAACATAACCAAAAATATCTCTAAAATGTCAGATAATGGCTTAATGTTTACATATAACCTGTTGAAAAGACCATTAATAGTTAATAAGAAAGTCAGGTTTATTAGCTGTTTGGAAATATGAATCGTTCATAAGAGATCGTCAAGATTTCCCAAGCTTTGAAAAATAATATGCCTGCAAATGTCCTGGAAGTTGATATTATTAAACAGCAATGGTGATGCCAAAGGATAACTACAAAGGATGGGGGGTAACTACACCCATAACTTTATCAAATTATCATGATACAGAAATTTATTCTAAAAATTCTTAAAAATGCAGCTTGTAGAGGTAGGTCAAAATTTCTAAAACTTGCTTTAAGAAAATAAACCTGATGAAAAAAGCTTGAGACGAAAACAGCGTTTGATAGGATTGTCGGAATTGATATAATGTTGTAATAAAAATATATCTAGTAAGAAAATTTGTTAAATTGATGATTTGTATATTCGTTTTATTCAATCAATATTTCTTATTGCATTAGCGTAGCAGCCATTATAATGATATTATCATGTTCTGCAAATGCAGGTATTGTTGAGGGCAAACATTTTCATTAGTTCTTTTGTTTTGATTTTCACTTGTATTTATAAAATACAATTTCTTAACAAATAAATACAAATATTTTGGGTGTGGACCTAGAAAAAAAGCTGACAAAATCAATTCCCTTGTAGCACATAATGTTCTGTCATTGCTAGTCTGAATACATGCCATTCAAGGTGGAAAACCCATTCATTGGCAGCTTTAAGCGACAGATGTTTTAGTTACATGGTGTGTTGCAATTGCAAGCAGCTTGATCCACTTAACTGCATTCTCGTTTGTTGTCTTTCCTCGAATGTCCTCGTTGTGTTGCCTAGACACTCGAAGCTTCAGTTACACCCAATCAAGCTTCCACTCTGAATGCTCTTCACAGGACTTGCTTTGATCAACAAACAAACAGCCATTTGTGAAATCGCTCGCTGCACCCCAGATAATGAGTACAATAGGGGCTTTTAACAGGAGTCAGCAGTTATTTTTTCTGAGTTAAAAGTACACAGAATTGTTCACAAGCTATGGGATCAGCAAAAGTCACCTTTTGTTTAAAGGTTTCCACATTCCATCAATGCTTAAAAATGATTCGACCGATACGGAGATTCTTTGTGAAGAGTAAGGAGTAGTAGCAGGCCAAAGACCATTTTTATGGGGGGGTGGGGGGTGGGAGGGTGCAGTAAAGGAATTTCTTGAAAGGTTTTGACCAGTAAATTTCTAAAAATCTTATGGGAAATAGCGATAAATGATTCAAAATTACCGACCTGTTGAATCCTTTAAGGCATTGAGTCATGTTAAAATGGATTGGGTATACCCAAAGTGCCAAAATCCGCTGAGTCACTATTTTCATTAATGAGTCACGATTGCCATTGGTTGACCTTAAACTGGTCACATGAACTCACCTCGTACTGATTGACAAAACAATTTCCATCAATAGCGAGTTTTCAACAACGGATGCCAATATCACATGAAACAACAGCGATCACGCCGAAACCAAATGACCCCCTATAGAGAAGGCCTATTTACCATGACTCAATTCCGTAAAGACAAGCAGGGATGCAGACTTGTGAGCCTAAGAAGGACTAAGCCCTGTTGTAAAAGCCAAAAAGTTGCCTTTAAAATAGAGCCCGCTTCAACATCAGCTTCTATTATTTCTAGCAACTCAATCTTGCTGTAGTATTTGTTCAAGATAACCAAAATAACCAAAAGTTTTGTTAAAGAAGAGAGGGGGTTTGCTATCCCCTAATTCAGCACGCTCCTGGCTATTACCTAGAGCTGTAGTGTTCTCGTAAGCTTCACGACCTCCGACATTACTGAATAGAAAGGTTCTGATATATTTTAAATCTAGAGCCCTATATAAAATATTTTTGATCATACACGTTAGGATAACTTTTTGAAGGAAATAATTCTAAGAAGACACTGACGACCTAAAGTTCCTTTTTTAAAGCCTTAAGCTGGTAAAAGAGCAAAGATGTTCTAAATTTGTGTTTCTCGTCTAATAACTTTCCAGACTGAGAAGGGGGCTGAACGATAACAACTTTTTGAAAAACCACAAAACCAAAAATACATAATTGAATACGCATATTGTTTTCAGCCGTCTGCTTTTGTATCTTTATGCCCTCCCCTCTCCTTTCATAGACTTAAAAGGGCATATGTCGCATTAACAGTTGGCTAATGAAACAAAAGAGTTCGGAGTTGAATTCCATTGTTTCGTGACTTTTCACTGCCGTAAAAATTCATCCTCAATTCCATGCTTTGTACTAAACAAAAAATAGAATTGTATTGCATTTGCCAATCATGTTCACGATACATGGCCTTTAATCTATCTACCCAGCCTTCGATAAAAAATCAGTAGAAAAGAACAAGAGTTTTTGAAAATTTGAAAATCTCATGTTACCAAAGCAGAGCAGATTCTATCAGCCAATCAACTCTGATACCAATACTGTCACGCAAACCGCTGTTTAGAACTCATTTGTCTTTTTTAAAATGAAAAGATATATAATAATACATACATGTCACAAAGTTATGCTCACAAACATTTGGCGCAGAGTGATAATTTTACTTAATTTCGGTTCTTAAGAAACTTTTTTAAAAATTTTTTTTTGTGAAAAACAAATTGGGCAAAATTTAGGCCGTACGAAGGGCGTTTTCTGAATATGGATTTTGTGTTTAGCAAGCGGAGTTTCTTGTGCCAGTTTTATTCGCCTATATATCGAGAAACAGTACCAGACCTGCATTCAGTTGTTTTTTGAGATTGCAGTCAGGAGAGCCAAACGTGAGTTTTTCTCAAGTATTTCTACTAATTTGTCTAAACAGTCTCTGATGAAATTTTGTTCTTCTACACGAACATGTTTACTAATGGAAACGCAACCATTTCATTACGGATTTGGCTCTTTTCTATATGAGTACGAAAACTTTGTGACCCTAGTTCAATTTTCTCTTTTCTTCATGAACACGTTCATTAATGAAAATTTGCCTTTACGGAAATATAACCATGTCTTTACGGTTTTGGCTCAACCAGTGCCATCAAAGACGAAGATGATATCTTCTTTCCCTACCTGCCTACCATCTGCAACGCAAAATAAATCTGTGACTTAAATTGTCAACAGTATCGAGAAAAAAACCGCAGTTCTCGTTCTGTAAAGAATTGTACAATATGTATTCTCTGATAAAAAGAATAAGCTGACAGGAGTTTATGTTTTTGAAAAGCATTTGGTTATATCTTTACAGGATAAACTTACAACATGAAGTACATCGTTATCATGACAGCAGGCTTACTGCTAGCCTCTGGTGCACGTATTCCAAATGAAAGTGAGATTGGTGGAGATATCATTGAGAAGGGTGCGAAACTGGGTGTTGCTGAGATTAAATTAGGCAAGGCGAATGACGGGACCTCTTCGCAGGAAAAACATGAGAAAATTGTGAAAGCTGGGAAAATGCTCGGCCAGGTGCTTGCCAAAACTCTTGACATAGCAGGATTTTCAGCTGCCTCTGGTATCGGTACCATAGGTAAGATTTTGCTGTGTGTTGATACATTATCATGTGACGTAATATACTCATTTGAGCGATGAAAAAACCATTTGAATCTGCTCCGATTATGTGTCGTTTGTTACTGAGCATCGTTTTAAAACATGTCGACAGCTAGTTTACCGGTAAATTTGAAGTGATTCATCGCGAGAAGGGACTGGATAGATCCTAGGGTGAGTCGTATTTGCGATCTTTTTTACAATAGAAATTTATTGAAAGTGTTTCAATAAATTTCTTCATGTTAACCGAAAAAAGACAAAAAGTGCAAAGCAAACAGAACAGAGAAGAGTTCACAAAAGATAAAAGAACATTATGGCAACAAATTGAGGACAAAGTAGACCTCAAAATTGGCCAGAAACTTTCCGAGTACCATGTCGAAAGATTGCGGAATGAGGTTTTTAAAGTTCTTGAAGCTTTCAGCAGCCTAAAGGCTTCAGCCATTCCGACCTTAAAGTCGTCTTGGACAAGTGACATATGGTTTTCCCACACAACTGGCAGGTCCTTGGTTGGTCGTATGAACTGCCCTTGGGCATAATATACTGGATGCCCTTTATGATCGCAGCATATCAGCAAATGATCAAGAATAACAAAGAACCAACGTTTGAATTTAATCATTAAGGTTTAATGATTTGAAAAGACACTTTATCGCAAGTCAAACACGTAATTGAATCTGAGATATCGTTCTAGAAAAGTAGTCAAGACAACTAGGGAAAATCTCGTGTTTATTGCGATCAGCAACATTTGTTTGCCTGCAGTAACACCAGGCTCTACATTAAGCTCCATTCTTTTCAATTTTCACATGAAAACAATTCTTTGAGACTTTAGACAAAGATTCGCGATGCATTTCTGCTTGAACAAATGGCTCATTATCGAAATACGTACTTGTTTCCTCATAAAAAAATCATTTACTCTTTTGCCGTTGTAACCTGTTCAACGCAAATGACCAAGACTGCGGGGTGGTCCAATCCTACCATGTTTTTAGAACTTCGAAACGACGAGTATTATTTGGACTATGTTTGTTGGGTCTAGATTGGAATTTTCTACAATATTCCAACTATTGGCTCCCCTTTTAACAAAAAGCTTGATGGATGTATAAAGCGTGCAAATAGACTAGATTCATATTTCTGTACTTATCAACATTCTAGGGTCGATAAGGAAAAAAGGGGTTTTGCTGTCATGGTATGAAAGGTCTTTATTTGCATGCCATTTGATACCTTTTGCATAAAATCATCTTGCCTATTATCACAGAAATTTCACGTCTTTCACCATTCCTATTTGTAGGTGGTAGAGCAAGTCAACCATTTCTTTGATCCTGAAATCTGCTTAGAATCACTAGGCTGCAGTTCCCCATCGAAGATCGAGAAGAGTGAGATATCGTTCAGCTTTCCGAGTGCCTGCATTGCTAATGGAGCAAGTGGAAAGTGCTTGCACCCTTGTGACGATTTTGGTGAGGACTACGAGTGGTGCTGGATCAATCGCAACCCTGACCAGTGGAGCAAATGCACAAAACCAGAACTTAACGACTGTATGTCTATCACAGTGCCCCTAATAAATTTTCCAAATGTTTTGTCAAGGCAAATGTCAAGTAAAACACATTACTTAATAAATTGAATCAATGATGATGGATTAATTAAAGGATTTCAATCAAATAGAAAGAAAATTTGTCTGTGACAAAAACCTGCTTCGTTTTCCGCGTTGTTCAAAATGATAAATTGCTTCTTACCAAGGTTTCATGACTATATGCATTCAGTGGCGGCGCCAAGGGGTGGTATGGGGGGGTAATTACCTCCCCACTTTCGTCGAAACATGGTCTACATATTTCGTCTAAAAACGGATTAAAAAGCACTAGGTAGGGGTAGATCATAATTCTAAAGGAAATTTGACCTGATACAAAGCACTGAAACGAGGCCTATAGGGCGTGGTCTCACGGGTTACACCCATTACCCTCCCACTCTGCAGCAGCTGACGCCGCCACTGTATGCATTATCCTTTTTTTGATGCCAATTTAATGTCAAATTGTATTATTTTGTTTGAATATCTAGAATGGATGTTAAGACTGTTTTCTGTAAATTATGTCCTGAAGCTGTTCTCACTTGTTCCTTTAATTTAAGGAGGTATCCTGAAAATTTTTCGATAATTTCTTCACAAAATTGTACAAATGCTATTATTCGAGTTTGAAGGGAGAATAGAACCGGGATCTTATATTCAATTCTTCATAGTATTTACTATTATCTTCCAAAATGTCTCCGCAAAGCAAACTTTGAAAAAGTGCGCTAGATGATCAGTTTATCCAAAGAAAATATTACCTAGAAAAAACGTCTCTTTCTTCGCTACAATTACTTACTTGGACTATATCAAAGGTTGGCTTTGATAGTGTAGGCCTTTAACTACATTGTGCCACTTTTCCTTGATGCAAATAAGAAATAAGGAAATTGCTTCTGTCATGGGCAAACTACCGCGGCAGTGCAGATGTGCCACGCCCCTTGAAACAGCAAAAGAGGAATGTGCCCTCTAGCTATAAACTTGAAAATGACGCTTGGTCAGGATTCAAAATGAATTACTAAAATTTCTACTTTATTAAGTAAACTCCTGAATATATCGAAAGAACACAGCGAGGGCTGCAAAAACCACACGCGTCTAAAAGATTTAGTCATAAAAATGTTTAGGTCTTATCGGTAGCAAGTCTATAAGAATATTTGTCGGTAGCTATTGAATGCCATGGAAGTCAAGCTTCTACGAGCCTATTTTACAACCAAAAAATATTTCTATAAAGAAGTGGTGCAACAGAGAAAGAGTGCGTTTAGGGAGCTAAGGACCGGCAAGTTACTCGCGCGATTTTGCACTAACTTCAGAAACAAACAAGAAAGCTATAGTAAATTCTAATAACATCACAACTTTCTATTAACTTTAAGAAAAGTATCCATCTTGACCTAAACCTTTCAAAACCTTCCAACAAATAAAAACATAACAAGCATGGCCTTGAAGTGGTGTTTATATTGATGGAGAAAATGGCAAGTCACTACAGAACAGGTCCAAAAGTTAGATGCGTAAAGATGTTCCCTATCTTCTCGTAATGACCCTAAAATTTTTGGCATTGTAAAAACAGAATACAGATTTGACTTGCCAAAGTCTCAGTTATCAATCAAAGAAAAAACAAAAAATTTGCCCAGGTCTGGAGAGAGAGAGACAATAAGAAGAGGGAGGAGAGAAAAAAGAAAAAAGAGAAGGGAGGAAAAGTTTTTCCCCTCGCTCTTTCCTTTTTCCCCTTCCTTCTCCCCCTCATTCCCTTCCTCCCACATTCCTTTTTTCTAAAATTTATTGTTTTTTTATTACTAACTATTTTTTTTACCGGCCCACGGAACAGAAAACATGCATTTGCTTTAATGTCTTTCGCAAGGTGTTCAACAACTGTTCACTATTTTTCATCCAGGCTATTCATTTGCTTCCATGTTGCTAATGATACTGTTCAGGAAAGATAGCTTTTTTCGATGCAAATTCAAATTTTTATGACGAAAGTTGACGGCCCACACAACAGAAAACATGCATTTGCTTTAATGTCTTTCGCAAGGTGTTCAACAACTGTTCACTGTTTTTCATCCAGGCTATTCATTTGCTTCCATGTTGCTAATGATACTGTTCAGGAAAGATAGCTTTCTTGATGTATATTCAAATTTTTACGACTAAAGTTGACGGCCCACGGAACAGAAAACATGCATTTGCTTTAATGTCTTTCGCAAGGTGTTCAACAACTGTTCATTGTTTTTCATCCAGGCTATTCATTTGCTTCCATGTTGCTAATGATACTGTTCAGGAAAGATAGCTTTTTTGATGCAAATTCAAATTTTTATGACGAAAGTTGACGGCCCACACAACAGAAAACATGCATTTGCTTTAATGTCTTTCGCAAGGTGTTCAACAACTGTTCACTGTTTTTCATCCAGGCTATTCATTTGCTTCCATGTTGCTAATGATACTGTTCAGGAAAGATAGCTTTCTTGATGTATATTCAAATTTTTATGACGAAAGTTGACGGCCCACGGAACAGAAAACATGCGTTTGCCTTAATGTCTTTCGCAAGGTGTTCAACAACTGTTCACTGTTTTTCATCCAGGCTATTCATTTGCTTCCATGTTGCTAATGATACTGTTCAGGAAAGATAGCTTTCTTGATGTATATTCAAATTTTTACGACTAAAGTTGACGGCCCACGGAACAGAAAACATGCGTTTGCCTTAATGTCTTTCGCAAGGTGTTCAACAACTGTTCACTGTTTTTCATCCAGGCTATTCATTTGCTTCCATGTTGCTAATGATACTGTTCAGGAAAGATAGCTTTTTTGATGTATATTCAAATTTTTACGACTAAAGTTGACGGCCCACACAACAGAAAACATGCATTTGCTTTAATGTCTTTCGCAAGGTGTTCAACAACTGTTCACTGTTTTTCATCCAGGCTATTCATTTGCTTCCATGTTGCTAATGATACTGTTCAGGAAAGATAGCTTTTTTGATGCAAATTCAAATTTTTATGACGAAAGTTGACGGCCCACGGAACAGAAAACATGCGTTTGCCTTAATGTCTTTCGCAAGGTGTTCAACAACTGTTCATTGTTTTTCATCCAGGCTATTCATTTGCTTCCATGTTGCTAATGATACTGTTCAGGAAAGATAGCTTTCTTGATGTATATTTAGTGTTCATCGGAACATCGATCGATGATTGACTAAAATGTCCATTAAACGACAAACGTGCTATCTTCAACCAGTGCGATCTTATTTTACGTGCAGAGGACACGGAGCCAGAGAGATGCAAACTGTTTGTGCAGTGTGTAACGTGATTTCTACTGACTGATTATAATTTACAAGAGTTCGTATTGATATAGAAAACTGGCAAACTTAATTAAGAGCTATACAAAGGAAAGGATATGCTCGATGGTTAACAATGGTGTGATGGATTAGGTTAAAATTACGTGTAATTAACATATAGAATGATGAATATAGAATTACGTAGGTATGCAGAAGAAGCAATGATGTATTGTATAAAATGGCCTAAATTGAATCACTACAATAGCCCCCTCCCTAGAATGCAAGCGAGTGTGAAGCATTCGATACGTAGGGAGAAAAGCGAGAAAAAAAAAATGCAATGACGAGAACGAATTAAGTTTAAGAGTTCGAAATTAAATGTTCATTTTTGGTTGTGCGTGTTACTTGCCAGCTCTTGTGGTGTGAATTGACATCTTGCAGAATGTGCGCGGAGAGTGGTGCTTGCGGTGCCGAAGTTTTTTTTTTTTTTTCTTGGCGTGGGTTGACCAGCCTGCGATGGATTGGAGGCGTGTGTGTGAGCAAAGAACGAATGCCATGTTGCTGCCTGCTGTAGCTGTGTGAGGCGTGTGAGACAATGTCCGATGCTGTTTGCTGCCTTGATGCGAATGGTGTAGCGTAGCACTACGGTGAGTCGAGCGCTGCTGTGTTCGCTTGTTGCGAGTTGGCACTACGGTGATTCGAGTTCTGCTTGATGATGGTGCATGTGTATTGTGGTGCGTTGAAAACAGCGTCGTAGAATGTGCGTGTCGATGCAGCCGCGGTCACGTCGTGGTCACCAATTTAGTGTTCATCGGAACATCGATCGATGATTGACTAAAATGTCCATTAAACGACAAACGTGCTATCTTCAACCAGTGCGATCTTATTTTACGTGCAGAGGACACGGAGCCAGAGAGATGCAAACTGTTTGTGCAGTGTGTAACGTGATTTCTACTGACTGATTATAATTTACAAGAGTTCGTATTGATATAGAAAACTGGCAAACTTAATTAAGAGCTATACAAAGGAAAGGATATGCTCGATGGTTAACAATGGTGTGATGGATTAGGTTAAAATTACGTGTAATTAACATATAGAATGATGAATATAGAATTACGTAGGTATGCAGAAGAAGCAATGATGTATTGTATAAAATGGCCTAAATTGAATCACTACATATATTCAAATTTTTACGACTAAAGTTGACGGCCCACGGAACAGAAAACATGCGTTTGCCTTAATGTCTTTCGCAAGGTGTTCAACAACTGTTCACTGTTTTTCATCCAGGCTATTCATTTGCTTCCATGTTGCTAATGATACTGTTCAGGAAAGATAGCTTTCTTGATGTATATTCAAATTTTTACGACTAAAGTTGACGGCCCACGGAACAGAAAACATGCGTTTGCTTTAATGTCTTTCGCAAGGTGTTCAACAACTGTTCATTGTTTTTCATCCAGGCTATTCATTTGCTTCCATGTTGCTAATGATACTGTTCAGGAAAGATAGCTTTCTTGATGTATATTCAAATTTTTACGACTAAAGTTGACGGCCCACGGAACAGAAAACATGCATTTGCTTTAATGTCTTTCGCAAGGTGTTCAACAACTGTTCACTGTTTTTCATCCAGGCTATTCATTTGCTTCCATGTTGCTAATGATACTGTTCAGGAAAGATAGCTTTTTTGATGCAAATTCAAATTTTTACGACTAAAGTTGACGGCCCACACAACAGAAAACATGCATTTGCTTTAATGTCTTTCGCAAGGTGTTCAACAACTGTTCACTGTTTTTCATCCAGGCTATTCATTTGCTTCCATGTTGCTAATGATACTGTTCAGGAAAGATAGCTTTTTTGATGCAAATTCAAATTTTTATGACTAAAGTTGACGGCCCACGGAACAGAAAACATGCATTTGCTTTAATGTCTTTCGCAAGGTGTTCAACAACTGTTCATTGTTTTTCATCCAGGCTATTCATTTGCTTCCATGTTGCTAATGATACTGTTCAGGAAAGATAGCTTTTTTGATGCAAATTCAAATTTTTACGACTAAAGTTGACGGCCCACACAACAGAAAACATGCATTTGCTTTAATGTCTTTCGCAAGGTGTTCAACAACTGTTCACTGTTTTTCATCCAGGCTATTCATTTGCTTCCATGTTGCTAATGATACTGTTCAGGAAAGATAGCTTTTTTGATGCAAATTCAAATTTTTATGACTAAAGTTGACGGCCCAC